GTATCGATATCGGTTATCGGCTACATGAGTTTTAAAATATCGGCATATCGGATATCGGCCAAAATCCCAATATCGTGCATCCCTAGATTCTATGTTGAACTTGTTAATTTCTAATAGGATACAGTTATTGCAGCTTGAGTATTGAACGATACTGAAATCAACCCGATACGATATCAGCATAAATCATACATACTTTATTGTTTATTTTAATTAGTAGAATGATAGAAAATATTTGGTCAGGTGATATTTCCCAAACAGTAAACAATACTCAACAACATCAGGTATAAGAAAAACTGACCCATTTCTCATTCACCAAACAGTTACTTAAGAGAATTAAGAGCAATGAAGTCTATCTATCTTAAACTGTAAACAAAAGTAGATAGAAGCAAAGTGTTTCTACGAGCTTTCTATTATCAGAGATTTTAAATGTCAAAGTATTCTGATATTCTTTTTTTGGCTGATTTTGAACCATTTTCCAATGTCAATAATTTTTTGGACATCACTGAAACTTAAAGTCTGGACTCCATGCTATTCTAAGATGTTAATCTACTTTTATCAAACTATGTTTTTGTACCTCTGGCAGTATTATTATTGTCATTGCTCTGCTGAAAGGGGAACCTAAAGCCTAGTTTCTCACAGCATGTAACATAGATAACTATCAATGAAACATATCTCCCCTATATGATGCTGCCAATTTAATGTTTTGCTGTTTTCGTTCCCTGTTTAGGGTAATGTGCAGTGTTTGTTGTCCCCTCCACATAGAATTTGAATAAAGGACAAAATTTAATTTTTAGTTTCATCCATGGTCGGTTTTTCCCTTCAGGAAAAACACAAGACAAAATCATTCTCTTATGATAAACCATTTCTGATTGGTCCTTTGGACCAGTTTCCTTTCTCATCTTAACTGTTTTACTTTGAAATTAATTTGTTGCAGGCCTAGCTTCAGTAAGGGGATAGGATTTGTTTACATGTGCTATAAGGGGTCTGAAACCACAAGTCAATCTCTGCTTCTGTGGTTCTCTTAAAGTGAAACTGTGTAACGGCAGCCACTAGCATTTAACTTGGAAGTTACAGGTTAAGGACCCTTAAAAGCAACTGGCAACGCTGCACTCTGATGAAATTAAACAGTCTCCCCCAGGGTTTGGAATCTGATAGCAGACCCCTTTGAACCAGCAGATCTATTTGTAAAGAATATAGTTCCCCCCTTTGTTAAATATCAAAGGAACGGTGATTAAACTCCATGCATAGAAAGGTGATGACTGATTTTGATCAAAACCTGACCTGTAGAAAGAAAGAAACTGCTTAAATAGAACATGAGTGGCTAACTAAAGTAGACTGAAAGACATTAGAAGCTAAAACTCATGTCCCAATGTGAAGAAAGTATGGGAATGTTACAGGAGCATTTCTAAGCCTTTCACAATAGAAAAGCCATAAAGTATGGAACAGTGGTCAAGGTTTAAATAGTCTTAACAAATTTTTTTTCATCTGATTTTAATTTATGATTTATAATTACATTTTTAGTTTTAATTGTTTTTTTTTAGTTTAGTTTTTTTTTTTTTTATGTTTGTTTCAGTTTAGTTTTTTATTAGTTTCAGTTATAGTTTTATTTTCTGTAATATGACTTACTTATATGGGGCCAAGACTAAAAACAAAGAAAAAAAAAAAATAAATAAATAAAATCCCCAAAAGGACATGTTGCTGCAGCAACACAAATAGCCTGCCATCTGCTGTTATAATATGGTGCAGCGAAAATAAAAAGCGAAAACAACAACTGGAAACCAGACCGCATATTAAAACATTGTGGGGGGAAAAAACAAGGGCACTTTCTCTCTTTAAATTTGTTTTGTTTTGATGAGTTGAACATTTTGGTTTTTGGCAAGGTTTAATTTTATTTCAGTTAATTAAATAGTTTTTTACTCTAGTTTACATTATTTTGTAGACTCTGTGTATAAAAAAATGACAATAAAAGTTGTCTAAGTCTAAAGTCTAAGTCTTGTAAATCTTAGCTAACAATAATAACCTTGCAGTGGAAAACCTCTCAGTGTCTTCAATCAGAGGCTTCTCCAGATCTGCTGTAAGGCAGACCTCTGCAGGAGATCCTTACTGTCTGCAGCAATTAACATCCAAAACAACCAGGCAAATTACCACCTATATTATGAGTTACCCCAGTATTTCATCATCCTTTGGTGTATATATAAAGTATTTTGAATTAAAGCGAATTAAACTAAATTGAATCACAGCTCTTTACAGGAAATCACCAAAGATCCAGGAGCTACTGTCTATTTAATGCACACTAGTTCTCACTTATCTCAGGGACGGTCAGAGGTCATGATTTAATATTCAGAAGAAGAATGGGCCACTGGGGCATCTGTGGAAGAGATCTAATCAAATTCTGCAGACAAACCACTCTCCATAACCAATGCAAACCACAAATTCTTCCAGTCAGAATCTGAAATTAGTGAAATTCTAAGACGCGATTATAAACAATTCAATTCAGTTTAAATTAAAAAACAATTACCTAAATTTCTATAAAGAAAAAAGGGGCAAAATTCCTCCACAGAGATGCTAAACGTCCTTTTTGCCGACCTCAAATGCCTGTTGACTCAAAAGGATGTCAAAAGGTTTAGTTTCAATCACTTTTCTTCTGGAAAGCTTGTTTTCTATTTTATACTAAACATCTTCCTTTGAAAACGTTTCTTATATTCCTTGTGCCATCTTTGGCTGATATCGAAATGTACTTTATGTTGTAAAGTAATAAAATGTGTCGGTCTTTACTATTTTCACATTTAACCCAGCCAGCCTGTATTTGAACAGATTGTGGGTGGATTACCAATTGAGTTCATAGGCATACCCTTAGCAAAAAGTAGTTTATTCAAGTATGCTAAAAGTGCACTAATTTCATACTTAAAATCAGGCAGTGCACTTAGAGTTTTGACTATACTATTGTTTACTTTATTGTTTACTAAAGTATAATTTAAGTATACTTTAGTGAACTTAAAAATGTCCCAATTTAGTTCGAAGAAGTATTACTTTAGTAATACTTCAAGTATACTAAAAGTACATTGTTCGGTATACTTATACTTAAGTATTCTTAATAGAATTTACTTCAAGTATACTACTTTTTGCTAAGGGGTAGAATTATAATGATGACGTAGTTATTTATGTTAATAAATAAACAAGGCAACTGTTTTACTATTTGTTAAATAGTTTCTTTTTATAATTTTTCACTGTAGTCTTTAAACAATAAAAATGTGTCAATCTCAGATTCAGCATAAAGATTACAAATCAAACGCAGAAAAACAACATGCTTTCGGCAAAGCTATCAGCAAAAAATAAGGAAATGTATGTGTTAAAAGTAATCACGACCCTAAATAGTCAGTTGAAACGACTAATTTGCACAATGCGCTCTAATCTGATCAAAACCACCGGAAATCTCGAAACCGCATGTATTAATCCATCTCGGCCACCGTAGCCAGTGGTTTCTAAATATCAACACTGGTGTTGTTGCTTCAGTGAGGCGCTCCTCATAGGACTGAGATGTTATCAGTTAATCTTATGGCTTGATTGACACTCCGATGCTTGTAGAGTTTAGGTCCGACTCTTCGGCTCCACTTTGAAGGTCTGCTTTAACCATGGAGTACCTCCTGCAGGTGAAAGTCGGAGCTTTGGTCGGCTTGTTGCTCCTGACTCTCCTCTTTGGATTAATTCCTGCTAGAGTCAAATGGTTCAGAGACACAAACGGGACAGGTTGGTGTTTTATGCTTTATTTTAGCGTGGGCTTTTAACTAATGTATCCAGATTTAATAAATAGATCTGTTTTTAAACACATATTAGTGGTTTTTAATGATACACTTCCTACATATGCGTCCATAATACCGAAAAGCTAATTAATTATACTTTGTATACATATTTCGTTACATTATGAACGCCGAAAGACAAAGTGGGACGTGGTGTTTGTTTCTAGCTTTCTCTTGTTTTTCTACTGTTTAGACTTGTCTCGGGGAAATGGAATCAACTTTGAATTTAACGAAATTTGAATGAGATTCGGTTTCAAAAACGCTCCACTTAAAACGATCTGTTTCCCAGCCGTTAGATTCCATTTGATCATGCTGCGTTTTATTTGGTGTCACATGATTTGCCTTCCGCTGATTTTGCAAAGGTAATGGCTCTCTGATGAGTTTATTTACTGTGACAAAGGATGTGTTTGATTCGGAGACAAGGGAGTAGAGATAAGGCAATGAACACAATGAGAATCTAACCTTGTGACAGCTCAGTCAGTAACACAATCTAAACATCTTCCTGATATATTTGTTTTTTTTAAGTTAAACGATTTTCTGTGTATAAAGGTTTAGTTAAAGCATCTGACAGCCAGCAGGCCTCCCATCTCACTGCCCTGGGCTGGCAGGGATCACCTGATGAGGATAAAGCCTGGAGCTCTAACTCTTCATCACACATGATTACATTTAATCTATTGCTAAAGAAAAGAAAAAAGTCTGTCTAAATGGTGAATGCATGTGTATATGGAAGTGAAAGTAACATTTCTCCATCTCGTATCCTCGTGTGCTGAAACTGAGTCATTTTGACCTCTGTGCTGGTACTTTAATCACATGATACTCAGTTAATTTTTTTATTCCCTGTTTTGAAGAAAACATTTATTATTTTTTCCATTCAAGGTTCAGTTTTACAATTCATTCATAAACAGTAGTATAAAACATGTAAACAAATATAAAAGATGATAATTTAGGGCTGTGAAAATATATTCCACCTTTAAGATGTAACTTATAATGTAAAATTCAGCTAAATAGCAAGAAACTGCAGCACTGATTGGGTAGCTTTGCACTTCAACATTCTAACGTTGTCTTGTGACAGCATCTGACTTTAGAGCCTCATTCACCCAGCTTCACCCTCAATAGTCAAACATGAAAATCCTGTGTTTAGTTTTCAGGGTTTTTTGTTTGGTAGCTGAATCATTCATGAACTCTACTTCACAAATTTGAACGGTACGTTTGAGACCAAAGCGACGTATTGCAGAACCAAAAGGAGGACCTCAACCACAATCAAACACAGTAGTGGTAGCATCATAGTAGGGGATCAGTCTCTACCAAATATGTTTCATTTAAAAAGAAGAAAATAATAATTTAATATTAAATATATAAGTTCAACATTACTGCAGATAGTAGGGCTAAAAAAAATTAAAAGGATTAATTGTGATTAATTGATTATAGAAATAAACGACAACTGATTTAGAAACTGATAAATAGTTAAATGGACTAAATGGACTGCCTTTAACTGACAGAGTAACCCACTTAGAGCAGTAATTACATCAAAATTGTAAAGAAAAAAAAACTAATATTTTGCATTTAAGATGACAAAAAAAAAGGGGAAGAATATAGAACTTAATAAAATCATAGTTGGTTCTCAAAAAACAGGCATAGACTTTTACAAAGTAAACCTGAATTTACACCTGAAATCATTTAAAATGAACTTTTCATCCTCAAACAGGTCTGCCTGTTTTAAGTTTATCTGTATTGGAGAAGTACTGTATTAACAGCACGGTTTGAAACCAATAAAAACATAGATGTTTGGTGTTTATGTATGTTGTTTTCTAAAAAAATCTCTACTATAAGAAGGGATTCAGCTATAGTCGTCTGTTGTCTCATGTCTGATGTCATCTCTGGATTTGCAGAAACCCACCGGATAGTTCTAAGCCTGATCAGCTGTTTTGCCGGTGGCGTTTTCCTGGCAGCATGTTTGTTGGACATCATCCCAGATTACCTGTCGGACATTAGCGCAGAGCTGGATGCTCAGAAGGTGGAGGTAGGTCCTGCCTAAACTAACACACAGACCGATGATAGGATTCTCATGTTTGTATGTTAGAGATGGACGATACATCAACCTGTTGATATTTGCTTTTTTTTTTCTGATATGTCGATACGTTCATGCTTTAGCCAATTCATTAATACACTTATTCCCAAACTGGGGTGCTCAAGATCCAGTCTCAGAATGGATAAACAAAAGAAGCTAAAGGGATGTGCTTATGCTTCCTTAACACTTTAAAGTATGGACCATGAAATAATTGACAGAAAATAATATTTTTTTTTAAGTAAGGGTTGTCACCTTCTGACAAATGAAATAAAAGTTAAATTGGATCATTTATTTGAATCACATTTTTTTATACATTTATATTTTTATACATTAGGCATTTCTGTATAAACTTATATATGTTTTCTGTTCATTACATATTTCTGATTATGTAAGTCAGGGTCTTCTAGAAAAAAAAAATCACACTGATGATGGAGAGGTCTCAAAAACTCATCAAATATGATACACTTGTCATTGAAGGGTTTTTGTCGTTCACCATCCATGTCTGAAAAAGTACAATTGTTGTTTTTATTGTTTTTTTCATATCGATTTCCTATTACAAAAGTTTTGCCTTTTGTCTAACCTCTTCATTCATCTCTTACAGACCAGCTTTCCACTGCCAGAGTTCATCATGGCTGCTGGCTTCTTCACCGTCCTCATCCTGGAGAAGATGGTTCTCAGCTGCCGTCAGATGAGGGGCGCTCACGGCGAAAGGGCACCACTATTATCAGAGAACGGGCATGGGCATGGCCACAGCCATGCTGGGGCCGTTACAACGGCCGACCTGGAGAGCAGCGGGCACCACGTCCACGTCGACTTCCAGGCACACTCCCCCTTTCGCTCCTTTATGCTCTTCCTCTCCCTCTCGCTGCATTCGGTTTTTGAAGGGCTTGCTATCGGCCTCCAGAACACCGACTCTAAGGTGAGATGATGGAGAGCCCTTCAGCTTAGTTATCTTCCTGAAATGTACAATATAATCGCTTTCTTTTTACAGCCTTACCTCGCTTTACTTCTGTTTAAAAAAATTCCCAGTCAAGCTTGCGTAATGTGTTTCGAGAAAACTTTCAGTTTAGAGCGTCAGAATGCACTGAAAACCAATAAATCACAGTACATCAGCCTTTTACTGACAGTCCTGGTGAATCTGAGCTGCTCTGATGACTGAAGCTTCCCTCCATTGGTTGCTCTCTCTACCTCTGCACCCAAAACCAGAGGATTATCAGTAAAATATATCAATAGGAGTCTGCATTGGACCCTAAACCATATCATGACTTCAAACATCTGACCAGATCAGCAGAGAAATTGTTCACCTCCTCGTTCACCGATGTCCTTGAGCCGGTCTCTTATATAGTTTGAGCTGAAGAAAGAAGAGCAGCAGAGAGACATCAGCACATCTAAACCTCTGAACTTTTAAACGATCAGACAAAATGCTGTAATTCTGGTATTGTTGCGACACACTGACAGCAGGGGGTCAATTTCACCAGCAGTTTGGTTAAAAACTTTTCATTTAGAGCAAAATCGATTCTTAGAATAATCGTTAACTGCTTTTGTGGTTGATTAATCATTCGTTGGAACAACCAGATTCTAAAACATCCTACTGAAAGCAGAAATTAAGAAATATGTTAACATTTTGCATTTAAAAATGGGAAAATCTTTTTATATTTATAGTTATACTCTATCTAGAGCTCCTCAAGTAGCTTTTCTAAGTATTGAATTTATGATTTAAAAACATTATTTCCCTCTTTACAGTGCATCTAAATATCTAATTCTTTTTTGTTCAAACATTTTTTTATTGAGGTATTAAAATAATTATTGGTAGATTCATTAATAAAATATTTAACAGCTGCATCGCTTTATTATTTCTGAATATGCACCATTCATTTAATTATAGGAGTTTTTATGCATCTTTACCAGGAGAAGAAGAAACTGCATTTAGTTCCCTAAATGTATGTAAACGGCTGTGCTGCAGGTTGATAGCTTACAATAGATTGGTTTTTCCAACATTTGCATATTTCTATAGGTTTCCATCAACAACAACTTTCAAGCTTTTTTTTCCTCTTCCAGCTCTGGATACATTTCGTTAATAAAAACAAGTATTACAAAAAGCAGTCTGTTGAACAATTTAAGACATCATTGCTTATTTTCTTTTCTATAACATGAAAATCCAAATTCTAAATGAAGGTTCAGCTATATTGGGAAAATATGGCATAAAGTTAGCATGTTATTCCCTTAGATTATGCTGAAAGCTGACATTAGATTTAGCGATTTAGATCTTGGAGTTTTGAAATGAGAAACCTAATAGAAGTCAGAGTGTCTGACTTTTCAACGTTTAGCTGATTTTGATACATTAGCCTGTTTCTGCTGATGTTGCCTTGAGGTACCAACCATCTGCATCATCAGACTGAGCTGTTTTGCTATCCGGGGTTTTAAATGTGGGCTCTCTATTAATAACTTATCTGCAGCCATGTAAAAGCACATATTAACTTACAGATTTGTCTTAGATCATCACATGGAACCTGAGTAAATGCAAAAATCTGATGTAGCTTAATTGTTAGCAATGGTGCTTATATCTCCGTAGTACAGTTATTTTGTAGTGTTGTTTAGGTAAGGCTGTTTAGAAGTTTAATTAATGGTGAATAAGTTCCAAAGTGCAACTGGGCGGCTGCTGGACACCTTTGGACTTTAGTGGAAAAGGATTTAGAGGCCTGAAATGTGTCCAAGTTTCTGACCAGTTTGTTAAACCTCATCACTGATAAGATTATTTGATTTTTTTAAATGATTATTTCTGTTTTGCAGGTGTTAGAGATCTGTATCGCCATCCTGGTCCATAAGAGCATCATAGTGTTCAGCCTGTCGGTGAAGCTGGTCCAGAGCGCCGTTCAGCCACTTTGGATTGCTGCGTACATCGGCGTGTTCGCCCTGATGTCACCTTTAGGCATCGCCATCGGGATCAGCGTGATGGAGGCAGGGCTGGCGGCCGGGGCTCTGATACAGGGCATCCTGGAGGGGCTCGCCGCCGGAACATTCGTGTACATCACCTTCATGGAGATCCTCCCACACGAGCTGAACTCAGCCGGGAACCAGGTGCTAAAGGTGTTCTTCATCCTGCTGGGCTTCACCGTCATGGCAGCGCTGACGTTTATAGGCTGAGAGCTCCGCGGGAGCATCTGTGGGGGATGCAACCTGTGCACTTTGTGCCTCTTACTCCAGCTTCCACAAGCCTTTTGGTCACTTTATCTCAAAATGATCACCATTTTAAACAAAATCTACTGCACTGTTATACTGAACTCTGGACATTTTTAGGTGAAAAATGTTTCACAACATCCTTGTGCATTCATGCTTGAAATGTTATGTTGAGTGTATATGTTGGCGGTTATCAGATTATCTTTATATGCTGTTTTAAGATTATTTTATCCAGTCAGAACACATAGAACTATGTTTGATAAAGCAAAACACAGGTAGGGTTGTTACTTTTTGCATCAAATCACTGTTTTTGTACCTTTTATGATGTTAAGGAAGCAACAGGATATAATACGAGATGCCCTATTTAAAAAAATGTCTTAGTGCTTCTATAAAAAAAACCCAGAAGAAATGTTTACATGTTTGCTTATTAGAAAGAAAGTTGACAGCTCCCAGTTCCTAAGAAGCATTACATGCACTGCTTTTTATTATACACTCCGTGATTATTGTTGTTTCCACCTTAAATTTCTCATAAAATCAAGTATTTTATTGATTTTAGTAAATTTAAACAATGTTCCTGCACTGACTTTTTTTTTCTTAGAATTGTATGTAAATTCCTACACTAAACCTGCTCAAAAAGTAATCAAAGAGTTTCTGTTTGACTAGAGAAACTTTGTATATTTTTAGGCGGCGGTACTGATAAACTGACTTGAAACCCAAAAGTATGTGTTTAGCAGTTTCTCACGCTTAGACGTATTTAAAAGCAGCTCTAGCTTCAGTCTGTCATCATAATTCCTATTCTAGTTTGTCTTGTCTTGGTCCGATTGTTTCCTCATTGTGGTAAATATTGTGGAAACAGAAATATCTGCTTTGTTTGTCAGGAAAATGATGATACCAGCTTAAAATTTGCCAACTTTATTAAGGTTTTTTGTTGTTTCGTTTCAAGGAAACACAGATTTCACTTCTGCCTTGTGTACCCTGTACTTTGCTTTGCAAAATGTAGTAACCAGTTAAAAAACAAGCAAAGTAGTTGGTATGGCATCCTGAGCTTGTGCCTTATCATTGTTCTTTTTCTTAAGAGGGTGACTTTGGTTTATAAGCCTGAAAAAAGTAAAGAGATTATGACACTAAAATTGGTGCAAAGATATTTTTACACACTCTGCAGCATATGTTTTACTTTCATCCAAAGAGGTCTTGGCTGTAGATCTTTATGTTCACATGGTTGGTTTGAATGAATTGGTTTAGTCAGTCAACCGCCAGGTGGTGCTGTTGCTCCTTCAAATGAATTACTTTTTTTTTTTTTTTTTTAATCCACCTTAAACCACATTAAATGCGACATCAGACTTACATTGGAGTGGTTTTCACATTCATTTTTACCTTTAAATAAGATCACCTTAAAATTTTTAACCCCAAACATTTCTTTCAACATAAAAAAAAAAAAACAGACTGGATAATACATCTGAGGATAACTCCTAGAAAAGCCTTTTTTAGACTGTAGAGATGTAGAGTTTTTTTTTTTTTTTTTTAAACCACAAAAATCACATTTCTTACTAGTTTATCAACACCAAAACATAACTTAGAGAAATATTTATACAGAGCAGGTTACATACTTTGTTGCAGCCCCAGTAAAGATGAGTAGAAGCTACTCTATAAAAAAGTACCAAAAAGAAAAATCCCACCATTTATGCAAGTGGGTTTTAATGAGTTGGAGAAAAAGTTCCTACACTTTGTCAAACAATTGATTTTTACATTGACTCCCCTTCTTGTAACACTTTGTTTACCAATACCATTTGGTCTGGACTTTGTTCTCTATAATATTTCACATAGAGTGAGCATGAGTGCTGGTGCCTATCTCCAGCTGTTAATGGGCGAGAGGTGGGGTACACCCTGACAGGTCGCCAGTCCATCGCAGGGCAACACAGAGACAAACAGGAGAAACAACCATTCACACACACACTCACACCTAAGGAGAATTTAGAGAAGCCAATTAATCTAACAGTCATGTTTTTGGACAGTGGGAGGAAGCTGGAGTACCCGGAGAGAACCCACACATACAAGGAGAACATGCAGGAAGCAGGGATCGAATCCGGAACCTCCTGGCTGCAAGACAACAGTGCCACTGCCTCACTATGTAGCCCCACTACAATCATATCAAAATTTCAAAAATGCAATTTTTAAGTTATAAAAAAGCACAAATAATACTTGGTTTTGCTTTACATGGTTAATTAGCTTCCCAACCCCTTTCCTTAAATTGTTCCCTTTAACGTTTGAATAACCCAAACTCCTTTTTTTTCTTTTCTTTTTTTTTTTTAGTTTGAAAGGGTTCTTCACTGATCCATATTTTCTCCTTCAAAAATTGTAATCCTATCCAGTGGCTTTACTTTATGCTTTTTTGTGATCTTACACATGTAGCAGTTATAAAGCAGAGTTGGAGCTTATGGAAATGAACCACTGTAGCATTAATCCTACTTAATTCAAATTTAACATTAAATTTCACCATTTTAATAGGTATAGGAAGGTATAGGTATTTTGTTACAGACTTGGTTTTCTGTTCAGAGCTTCAGTTTACTTTGACGGAAGGCATCATGAATCAAAACATTAATGTTTTTTAATTCACTGTATTTATATAGTGCTAATTCACAACACAACATTTAAAGCACTTCACAGAGACAATACAGTCAGATCAGTCAAAAGTTTCTGTCAAGGAAAATCAGTTGATTGCATCCAGTTATTGACTTGCAGGACATGCGTTTCACAGCACTTTAAGGTTAAAAATGTTTGTGACAGCATTTTTTATAGCTCCTCTTTACTGCAGACTGTAAGACATGTTGATGTTATAACAGGTAATTTATCAGGAAATCAATGAACTAGAGGAGTTTACTGATTAGTAATGGAGGGAGGATGGGGATGTTCATTGGCAAGGAGCTAATAAGTCACTAGGAAAGTGTTATAAGGACTTCTGAGAAATCAAAGTAGTTGTAAATATCCCCAAACTGTAGAATTGACTCCCAAAATGAAGCGGATTTCAGGCGTAAAGGAGGTCTTTCTATGAGTTTTTGCATCAGCTGAGGCCTGCAGCCTGTCTAACATGAGGAAAGTTCATCCCATCCAGGAACAAAGCTCCTTATTCCAGAGGGGGAAAACGTTTGTCTGATGTGGGATCTGGAGACCTTGTTAACCCATGTTCACTATTGTGAGGTAATAGGAGGTCATCCATAAACATCCACTAATGAGCAGTGTTTGTGGGGGGACAAAAGCACAGTAAATGTGCCAGTTTGAGCAGACAGAGCATTCAGTGTGCAGAGCTGGAAGTTAGAGCGTTCAGCTGCGGTGGGAGACAGGCGCTTTATCTGTTCGTCCAGCTCATTAACCTCGTCTTAGGCACAAAACTCGACTGTATTTTCACATATTGCTCTTGGAATTGAAACACATGGTTTCCTGTTAGTTTCATGTTCTTTAGTGTTTAATCTTCAGATTAAGCCATTAGGAAACATTTAAAACTGATATCAGTTTATAGAAATTAGATGTGCCCGCTAGAATGTGTCTTTAAATGAGTTCTTGCAATTTTATTACAAGTTTTTTGTTTTAAAACGGGAATCAAGATGAAAGCAGCTCGGTTCAAACTCTTTTATAAATGTTGATGTTACCAGTAATTCCAGTTAATATGACGAAACAGAAGAGTGGATGGAACAGAACATGCTGCTACTACAGGGACATTTCTGTATTCATAGAGGCTTGTGGAGTGTCCATATCCACTAGGTAACTCCACAAACTTTATTATCATTAATGGCTTTTCCTCCTGTATTCGTTGAAGGCTCCACAAATCTGAATTTTATTGGTGAGTGTTAAAAAGGAAGCCTTTATTGAGAGAAAGCTGCAAGAAGTTGCAATAAAATAGGATCAAAAAGCCACATAGAAGACACTGCAAACATGTAGGAAGATGTGGTGAAATTAGACCAACACTAACCTTTAAACTTACATGTAGAATGCTATAATCCAGTAAGGAGCTCTTCTCTTCAGAGAGAAGAGAGAAGCTGCAGGGTTGGTGGAAAGAAAGTTGGAGATAAAATACAAGAAGGTGACAGATTGCTCATATACAATCACTGTCAAGTACCTTTGCTTTAAACATATATCTCACATAAGTAACAGCAAAAACAAAGACATATAAATCTGTAGTCTGAACAGTCAAAACCAGCACAAAGAATAATTACTGCTGTGTTTTTAAAGTTATAAAATAGCTGCAGACTTGCCCTAATCTCCCCATTCCTATAACATGATAGCAGCAAGCTCTGACAGAGGGACATTTCTGAGCTTTAGCGTTTGATTTCAAAACCTACTGTTTTCTTTCATGTTTTCAGTTATGAAAAACTTTACAGAAATGACAAAATAGAATGACTAATAATGCCACTGTGTTGCCAATTAGAAAAGAAGCCATGAAAATGCATGTCAGAAATGTTCACTTTGAATTCAATAGGAGACAGGAGAAATTATGTTGAAGTGAAACAGGACTGGTGAGAGAGGACACCTAGTGGACAGAGCAAAAGTAGCAAAAAAAATATAAAATCCATAGAGCTAAACTTAGATAACCAACATTTTATAGTTTGTTGAGAGGGATAGCTCCAAACACATGGATATTAGTAAGCTGCAATCTAACCAAAAGAAAAATAGTAATCGACTAAGAAGAGAAGAAGAGATCAATTGAGCTCAACAGCATGAGAAATGTTTACATTCCTCCATCAAGATGTAATGTTATTTAAAAGCACATATAAATACAACAAATTGTAGTGGTAGTGCAGTCAGCAAAATGAAACAAACTAAGACGTCTGCATCATCTTAATATGAACACGACACAAAGGATTCAAAATGGTGTAAAGGAAAGCTAAAATGATCAGTTTTAAACTACAACTTTTTGACAGCTTATACCTTCTGCATACTTTCAGCTTTTGAATTTAACTCCAAAGAGGTCTGTACGGAAGCAACCAGAAAGAGAATAATTAGTAAGAATAATAAAGAATAAAGAAGGGTAGCTCCAAAAACATGGATTTCAGTAAACTTGCAGCAATCTAACCAAAAGGAAAATAGCAATCAACTAGAAGAGAGGATCGATTGAGCTCAACAACATGAGAAATATTGACATTCCTCCAGCGAGATGTGAAGTTATTTAAATACATATATAAATACAGCCCTTTGTGGTGGTAGTGCAGTCAGCAAAATGAAACAAACTAAGAAGAGTGCATCAACTTCATATGAACACAAAGGACTCAAAATGGTGTAAAGGGAAGCTAAAATGATCAGACTTAATTAAAAATAGAGCTCTGATTCATTACGCTTTTGATCTACAACTACAAACTAAAGTAGTCCAAGCAAGCAAAAAATAAAAATGTAGATGTAGCGATCGCGCTCAATCTCATTCTTATCCCTAGACTCTGCTTGTGTTGTTATTGTTGTTGATTTTAATTTGGATATGGATATGAATAGCCACAGGTTTTTTTTTTTTTTTTTTTTTATCTTCATAAAATTATTTTAAAAATTATATTTTGGTTAAACCATGCCTTTAATTTCATCTTAAGGCTGCAGTAAATTCTACATTTAGGGAACAGATTACTATGTCACCTGAAGTAGATCAATTAGTATCTTTTCAGCGTTAAAGTCCTGATACAAGAGGAAAAGCTAAAAAGATATTAACATAGAACTACATGTTCTATTTAACTAATAAAAGGTAACAACTTTGGAATCGTTGTTGGTGCAGGAAGTGTCTGGTACTTTGGTGGAGACAAGCCTGTCTGATGCTGTGCAATCATGGAAAAGTAAGCCTTGATGTGGGACAGAAAACAAGAGCTGCCCCCCTCTGAGCAGGACTGCAAAGAATGTGCACGGGAATGTTTCACTGTAGGCCATCCTGCTCACATGACGGACCGACAGGCACTGAAGGGCTGAGACGAAGCTGCAGCTTCCACATCACATGTAAGCTGGGTCACTTCCAGTCCGACGTTGTGGAGAGGAAAACATCATAGCTCCTCTATAACATTATATGTAAGGGAAAAAAATGTTACAGTCAATATATTTCCCACGGTTAAAATACTGAGGTGAAACACATGATATAGATTTTTACATGCAAATACATTTTTGCAAACCATTATTTCTATTAATCATGAACATTTTCCACTTACACCTGATGAAAACACAACATTTAGCTTTAGGTGAAACTGAAAACCTCAGAGAGAAAAGACAATTAGAATAAATTTATTGATACAATTACATTGTCTTTGGCGCTCAGACCTCGGCAGGAAACATAGCGCTGAATTTTGATAGATATGCATGAACAGGAATAAAGAACATGGCTGTTCTCCCCAGGCCTGAAACTGGTGATGGAGTGGAGATAGATGAAGTGGGTAGTCTGCAGACTGCTGGTTAATGAGACGGTCTGCTGAGCTTTATGGGGAGATCTAATGGACTGCGCGCGTTGATACTAGAGCTTCACTCAGGGACCTGGAAGATCAGAGTCCAGCTTGGATAACAAAGGTTGAGAGAACCTGTCCATGATGAGCAAGCATGAAGTGACAGTGGAGAAGAAAAACTCCCCGTTGGAAAGAAACCTCTGGCAGAACCAGGCTCAACATGGCAGTCTTCGGCCCGACTGGTTGAAATGAGACACGGGATACAGTAAGAGAATGAAATTCTGATGAAGTTCTAGCTACGATGGTGGAGGAGGAGACGGAGGTGGGTTGAAACGGTGTCATCTGAATGAAGTCAGACAGCTCAACTACCGCCTGCGCACAGGAGCAGATGAGTTGTGGATCGGAGGCCTTTTAAGATTAACTTTGGATGCTGACTGGCTGTGGTGGAGGCGTGGTTTAAAGCTGATTGGCTGTGTCGTAGGCGGATGGAGGAGAGTAATCAGTTTATTCAGTTGAACTTCCGTTGTTAAATGTTAAATCAGACCAAATAAAAAGATGTATTGAATTTTTTTCCAAGCAGAAATGTGTGCTCAATGAAAAACATGTTAAATAGCTGCTTTAAGGTTATTTTTAAAAGATGCTTCATTTCACTTATTGAATAGGAGTGTATATGCAGGAACTCATACTTTGTAAGCAGGCTAACGAGTGTATGAAAATGGGATTTAAACATTTTCATGGGATAGTTTTAACCTTTAATATGTCTGACAATGTTTGCAGTTTTAAGCTTTGTTTTTAGATGTTTCCAACTTCGCTTCTCAAATCAAATGACCTAAAAAAAAAAAAAAAAAAAAAAAAAGGGGAAGTGGTTTCTTTAAAGTCAGTAGAATTCCAGATAATTTTTGATTGTGAAGTAAAAATAACAAAAAGCCACAGAATGATCAAATATTTGCAATAAATCAAAACAAAACTTGCCTGTTTAAATGTTATCTGAGGCAAAAAGAAGCTGGTTATAAAGTTAGAGAATAACTGACATAACATTAATAACATTAAAAGACTACAGACTACAAACTTGGATACATTTTCACCTGCATGCAGCTTCACAGCCTGTGTCACGCTGATTAACTACTCGCTGTAATCCACTGAATCAAGTTTAATCCCTCTCTGAGTGACGTTTCAGGAACTCCCTCCCCTCCTGGTCCTCCTGGTCCTCCTTGCCGTGCCGCTGTCCTCTGCCACTCTACGTAGGACTCTCATCCTGTCTGCAGAAGGTAAGGCCACTCAGCCTTTTATTTAAATACAGGCAGGGGCAGACAAAGATACAATTAGAGCTGTTTAGCAAAAAATAAAAATAAAAGTTAGAACAAAAGAAAAAATATTATCAAATTAATTTCTTGCAGAAGGCGGATGAAGTTATTTAATCAATCAATCAATACTTCTGATGTTAGGATGGCAGATGGGTTTAAAATTAACAGTGGAGAGAAGCTACTTCTTTATTAGCTTTTGAAAACCTTAAATAGGCAGATATATTTAAACATTAGAGTCACAGTTTTATTTATATGAAAGTGTATAATTTAAGATTATATATATGATATATATATACATATATATATTGTGAAACAATATTATATTATAATAATTGATAGTAAATAATTAAGAAATCTTCATTGTTATGGAGTTTATTTTTTTCCTATTCTAGGAATAAAAGTATTTTAATCGGTGAAGTTAAATGACTGGATGAAAAGCTTCCTGCATGTAAATATTGTGGCAGCATGATTATTTTGATGAAATAAAAACATCTTCTCCTGTTTAACTACTTCACTATGAATTAGAAAAAAAAATAAATAAATAAATTTTAATTTTGCTTCATCTGTCCTGTGTCTTCTCACAGACCTGAGAGATTGCTTTAGCAGTGGATGAGTGGGAGATTTATTCATCTGTGACCATTTTGTTGTGGTTCTTCTGAGTGTTGCTGCTGTGAGACGTTACAACCATGGCTTCTGTAAGTTTAACCACCTTACACACCTTCTTGAGCCTCTGTTCAATAGAAGCTAGGCCAGCCCTTGCGCTAATGGTGTGAAACAGATCACACAGATGGTGGGAATCAGCTCAGAGGGGGTTCAGAGTTGTGTTTAATGTAGAAGAGTTAATCTAAAGCAACAGATTCCTCTTTGTGCAGACTGGAACTTTCCGTATGGTATCGGAGGAGGAGCAGGCCATGAGGGCAAAGCTGGAGCACCTGACAGTAAAGGATCATGGGTCAGTGTTTGGACCGTGTCACAAACTACCTGGCCATACTGTGCAGAAGGTAGAAGCTGGTCTCTGAGAGAGGTTTGGTGTCTGTAGAAATGCTGCTGTTTCTTTAACATATTTTATATTTGATTTATTTTTTTTAAGGCAAAGGATGAGCTGCATGAGACAGATGAAAGACGGGCGTCATCACTGAAAGATCTACGGGCCATGATAAAAGAGAGGGCATCGGAGGGGGACGACTTGGCCAAACTAGTGCAGGAACGCTTTGGGGACAAACCGGACTCTTTGTTGGTTCGCTTTCTCAGAGCACGAAAATTTGATGTCTCCAGAGCCCATGAGCTCATGAAAGGTGAGGGACAGAGGAAGCATAATATCATGTGCCGTCATTCCTTATTTTCAACTTCAGTTATCATTTATTCTTCTGTTTTTGGTCATGTTGGATAAAAAAAAAATTGACATAAGAAAAAAGATCACATTTTTATGCCTTTAAACATTTTGACTGGGAAAATTGTGGATTAAATACAGGCTGACCTTTTTTAAGGAAACACCTGAGACACATATTCCTTTTGTTTAACAAAATGATATAGCCAAGATATCAGGGAAAGGATGGCGCAGCTTTAAAAATCCTATTATCTCTAGGTACAAATTCTAAACCTTTTGTGCCAAAAAGACAAAGAAGGTTCTGTTTCCCATAGATGAGCATGTTTAGGAGCAAGATGCATTTATTAGATGGGGGCTGAACATGACTTTGCCAACAGTGAAAGGAATTTATTTCTATTCAATCTGCATTTATACAGGCTTTCTCACTCAGATCCAAGATCTGATTTTTAAAAAAACATTGAAACAACAAAAAAAAACAATATAATTGTACACGTCACGTTAAAAGTCAGTTGAATAAACTTAGAAAGGGCAGAGTGAGAAAAGATATTCTGGTTGACCCTGCTGGTTGTCTCAATCTGCAACATCAGATGAAACTCATAACTGTGCTCTTGCATTTAGGCAGCAAATATGGGGATTTTGCAGAACTTAAAATAGTATGTTAATATATTTATTTATATTATTTGATAATTATCCAGATAGACTCATAATCACCTGATTGGCAAAATGAGCAGAAGAAGCAGATTGAAATATAGCATCTACAACTTTGGTGTGTACTTACATTTCCACAAGTTTACTGTAATATATAATTACAGACTGGGAACTATTTCTGATGATAACCTCAAATTACAAAATAAAAACATAATTTTAAGCCTTGGTATGACTTCTGAATTTTAAGAAGTAGCTCAGTCTCATTTTAATGTAAATAAGAAAAGAAGAATCTTATATAATCAGTGCATGTTTATAACTAGATTCGGCTGTGCTTTCGTTCACTTTCTGCAGGAAATTTTCAAAAACTCCAGTAATTAAGTACGAGCTATCCTTTGTTTCCTTGTTTTATGCATCTCTGAAACAGTGGGTCATGTATTCATTAATTGGGAGCTTTAGGAATCTCTGCTGACAAAGCCCGCCTTTGTGTCCAAAATTGGACAGCAAGTTGATTCCACTTGTTGGCCCTGGGAACTGCGCCATCCCTGAGCTGATTGGGATGTGTTGGATATCAGAGGAGATTAAAGGCAGAAGACACTTTAATTAAATAGGACACCCTTTGATGTGCCCTTGTCCTTCAGCTGCATGCACTGAAAATGCACAAACCTTTTTAACATTTCAACCTTTTCTATAACCATATATCATAGTTTCTGTGGGTGTCATTGTATGGAGCAATGATAATATTAACTGTACGTTGAAAACTGTGTATTTTAGAAGGATGCCCGATTAAATGAACCAGATATTCAAACACACCATTGGATTCATCCCGATCAGATTTTATTTAGATGAGGGTAAAATGTAAAGTGTGAGTTGGCACTGCACACAGTCAGGTTTCTGTTAGTTAATTAGGGCTTCGGTACCATGAGGCTCGGCTCTGAGACAGACTCATATTGTTTCAGGTTCCCAACACTGAAGGTAAAGATCTAAGGAGGGGAACATTTCACTTTTGTTCTGTTTTGATGTGAAGATTATGTTGTTTTTGCTTTATTCAAATGTGTTCCTGAAGTCATGCCACCCATGTTACATTAGTGACTTTTTTTTTTTTTTTTAAAGAATCTTAAACCTAAATGGTGTTCATAGTTGTCTAGAGTCTCCTTTTCCATTTCTCTTCGAAAGTTGAAAAACAAATACGGTAACATTAGTCTTTTTTTTAGGAAACTTTATCTGCTTTCACTTAAAGCAATTTATCTAGGATCTGACCCTATCAGGAGGATGTAACTTTT